GGACAGTGAAGGGACAGTGGAGGAGGCCCGGGGGTGCAGGGCAGGGGGACAGTGAAGAAACAGGCCCCCACCAGGCCTCACCTCTGCTGGCGCTGTCCAGCTCCTCCTTTCCAAACACCAGCCCGTAGCCCTGCACAGCCCCGGTGTGAAACTGCAGGCGAAAAATGACGTCACGGGTGGCCGAGCGGTATTTTTTGTGGTAGCATTTTACCTAGTTAAAGAGAGAAAGCAAAAATGGGAGAGCTGCCTCAGGAGAAGACATCACCTGGCGGGGACCTGCTCCATGAGGGCAGGTGAGGCAGGGCCGGCCCCTGGGCAAAACTCGGCTGGGAGTTCACACTGCTGTGTGCTGACCCCAGGCATGGGCAGTCAGAAGCACCACAGTGCTGCCCTGGGATTCCACAGGAAGCTTCCGGAGAGATTCTGTGTTGTTCCCACAGACCCAGAGCTCTAAAACGCCACCCACTGTGCTCAGCCTCACACGGGCCACACCTAAGCCTTCAAACCACGGGAATGTGCCCTATTTCAGAAGACGTCTGGAAAATAAAATTCCACAGCCTCTTTTGTCTAAATTTTAACAACTGCTGGTGAAGATTTTCAGATGAGATCTGGCATTTTCATGGTGGTATCCTGGCCATAGAAAATTGTTTTGTTTGTGACAGGTGTCTCTCTGTCAACCAGGCTAGAGTGCAGAGGCATCATCGTAGCAGCTCATAACCACCTCAAACTCCTGGGCTCAAGTGATCTCCTGTCTCAGTCTCCCAAGTGGCTGGGATGACAGTGATCCCGCCTGACTATTTTTTTTTTTTAAGGAGACAAATTCTTGCTTTGTTCCTGATCTCCAACCCCAAGCAATCTTCCCACCTCAGCCTCCCAAAGTACTGGGATTACAGGTGTGAGCCACCAGGCCAGGCCTCTAGTTGTCCTTTCATTTAAATTCTCCATGTTTCAATTTCAAGCCTTTTGTTGTCACAAAAGCAGCAGCAGCTGGTTCTTACTGTCTATAATGTGCTGAGGGATTATGTCCAGGCTATAATCTAGGTGCAAGGGTCCTCAAACTTTTTAAACAGGAGGCCAGTTCACTGTCCCTCAGACCGTTGGAGGGCCAGACTGCGGGCCCCGGGACAAGTTGGCTGCAAAGTAGGACAGGCAGCAGCAGTAAAAATACCGGGCAGGCAGGATAAATGTCCTAGGCAGGCTGCATGTGGCCCGCGGGCCGTAGTTTGAGGATACCTGATCTAGAGAGAGAGGAAGGGAGGGAGAGAGAAATAGAGAGAGAGGGAGGGTATTGAATTTCCCATGCCTGGTCATCCAAAGGTCCTGGAGGTGGTCATTTAAGATATTTGTTCAAAATTACCCCAAGGGGATTTGAATGTGGCTGTGATTCCCCAACCTTAGAGCTGGGGGTTCACTGGGCCCCTGGAGTGCAGTCAAGGTGCCTGTGCCAGTGAGCACACAGCTGGCAGCAGGACAGTGGGCAGAGCAGAGCCCGAACATCCTGTCCCACATTTACACCTGGGGCCTCCCTGCATCCCCTCCAAATGTGGCACCGGCCATGGGGGCCACCAGGCCACAGTCAGAAAGTACTGTAGAGACAGGACAACCCTCCTCAGACAGGCAGGGCAGGGACCCTGGCATCTTTCCAGGATCCTTGAGGCCTGAAACAGGCTGGATTCTGCTCTCAGGTCAAGCAGTGTGCAGGCCAGGCGCTTCCTCTCCTGGGAGCCTGGTACAAAGGGGCAGCTTTCAGAAGCAGCCCCTGTTTGCAGGAGGCTTTTCTTGGTAAAAGGTGGAAGCAGCTGTGGCAAGTGGATTCAGACCAGCAATGCAGGGGAACTCCCCAGCTGAGGGTCTGTCATCCCACCAGTCAGAGAAACCACAACTCAGTAGATACCAAACTCACCCCCTGCGCAGCCCCAGAAGTTGTTTACTGTTGCTCTATCTACAAGGAAAAGTCTGCTGGATAAACGGCAGGGAGATGGCAGAGGGATATTCCCTGTCGACAAACACCTGCTGAGCTTCACTGCCTGTTCCAGGCTGCTGTAAACACAGGTCGGAGCCAGGGCTGACCTCCGCGTGAACTGTGAAGGAATGTCACAGCCTCGATTTGTTTTCCAAAAGTCAATGGCATCATGGTCACAAACCTCCTCCCTCCTTGGCAAGATGCAAGCAAAGGCCGTCCTCGTGGCATCCTCACCCCGTGATTAAGGTGAGGAAAAGGAACAAAGAACCCCCAGATTCAAGCCACTCTTCCTCTCAGATTTTATAAATTCTTTCAGGAGCCAAAGACTTGACCAATAATAACAAGGTCTGAAGCAGCCAACAGCTATGAGCGAGGCAGATCCAGCCAGCCAGGGACAGCCCCCATCCCCCTCGGCGGGCCTTGGGGTAAAAGCTATCATCCCAGGTGAATGGGGGCACTGCAGGCGCAGGGCAGGGCTGCAGAGTAGGAAGCAGGAGGATCGTCCGCCCACCCACCTGCCCAGAGCATCTCCCTATCCTGGGGAGCTTTTCTCACTCAGGAAAATCTCCTCTCCCACTTGCCCTAACTTATCAAAGAGCTCACACTGCAGCCCCTCACCATGGGAACAGTTCATCCTAAGCCTGGGCCTCCCTTTCTCCAGGTCTCCACTGTGCCTCAGCTCAGTTCCTGCTCATCACGGCTGCTCACAAACACCAGTGACTCAGCTTCCAGGAATCCCTGTCCCTCCTCCATCAGGCCAAGGAGGAGAGGACCAGCCCTGATGCCCTGGAGTGAGGGAGGGAAAGAGATGAGAATCTGCCCGTCTAGGCTGGGCAGCTCTCAAATGCCCCTCAGGGCACAGGTGCTTCTCCAGGCCCAGTAGGATTCTCTGGTGTGAACATTCCTGCTCTTCCCAGTACCAGGCCTCAGTACCCCCAGGGCTCATCCATGGACTGGAGTGGTCTGTCCCAACATCAATGGCCCAGGAGCACTGCTGCCCTGCACTTTGTGACCCTCTGCCAGGGGCCTTCCACAGGTAGTAGGACAGTGTCTTTGCTGGCTGGCTTGAGATCCTAACCTCCTCATCAGATGTGCTCCTTCTGTTCCATACTGAAAGCCTTTCCCATGGATCAGGGGAGGTAGACACCACCCCTTGGAGCCTTTCTGGCAAACTGACGCTAGCTCTCTTCTGGAAGACAGGCAAAATCATGAGATTTTCCCTAACACAGGGCTCCAGCCACCACCATCAATACACAGGTCCCTGAGACAAAACCCACTCACCACGGGAGCCCCCCAAGGACCGGTGGTGAGAGATCAGAATCATGCTCTTAACACTTCACAGAAAGAACAATCCACACCGTGCTTGATACAAGAGCCCCAAAGGCCTTCCTTTAAGAATATAAAGTAATACAAACACTTAGTAAAGATTAGAGCAACTCAAGTCTCTAATTTTCCCTCATCCCTTTGTCTTTAGCAGTTTTTTTACTTGGGTTTTCCAAGGCTATTTCTGGAATACATAGATCCTTTGCCTTCAGATTTTAGAATATGTGCATTTAAAACAACAACTTGAAGAGTTGCAGTCACAATTATGTAGTGTGGAAAAATAAAATAAGAAATAGCAAGCACCACATCAAATAGTGGGCAGAACCTGTCACCAGGCTACCAAAGCGCCTACAGCAAAAGCATGTTGACATCACGACCCCCTGGGAGCTCTCAGACCTCAGGAAAATTACAGCTGCTGGGGACTTTACGTTTTGTGTCTGAAAACATGAATGTTACAATATTAACCTTGCTGTTTTGTTCTCAAGTCTAAATTAGCACTATCTTGCAATGCCATCTGTAAATCCAGCAACAGATGATATGTTTATATGTTATCTATTATTTAAAAGATAGAAGCTTCTGGAGAGAGGGTCCTTGGTGCTCCAAAATGTTGCAGGGGTGAATCACGACTCAGTGGGAAGGTATTCAAACTCACCAGCTCGCTTTTAGTCTGATGAAGCAATTCAGAAAAATTGGGCCCAACTTTATTTTCTAACAGTTGCACATACATAAACCTGTGTCCTCAACCAGACAGGACAAGTCACTGGTGGCCAGGAATCAAGCCCAGCTTTGATCCCAGCTGCCCCTGGAGGATGCCAAGTCAAAAGGCAGCAGGCGGAGTTCTCAAAGAAGCTATCAACCCGGCATTTCAAGACAGACGATACACCAATAGAATTGCTCAATGCTAGGGCCTCATGGCTGTATTTTTATTTCAAACTCTCCACTATTAAGAGAAAAAAGCACCTTGGACCAAGGATGTCAAGATTTTATGGCTCAGCCCCAGGAATGCCTGCCCCAATTCAGATATCAGCCCTCAAGGGTAATCACTTCCTAGCCTCGCTGACCAGCTACTGTCAGGGTGATTCAGATTGTACTCAGATCCAACCTTCTCGAAAAACCCTCGGAGCACACCCTTAACAGAGGAGAGAGTCGGGATTCAGTGCTTCGCTGGAGGCCCTACTAAGTCTCGAGGGATATGCGTCCTGAGAGGATAACCATAAATTTGGAGGTTAAAAAGTTTGATAACTAAGCCTCCTAAGTCAAATACGTGTATCACACTGGGCCAACGGTAACTGTGATTTCAACTAGAGTTGAAATGATGTCAGATGGTAGCAATATCGTAAGACCTAAAACAACTGAAAGGCAGACAGAGACTGACCCTAAAATAAAAGCACATCTCAGTCCACTGTGCTGAGACAGCAGTGTGGACCAGTCTGGAAGACTCGCGTTAGAGTGAGGGAGAAAGACACCCACAGACGGGGGTGGGGGTGGGGGGTGCTGTGAGGAGCCCAGGGAATCTGTATAGACCCAGCCCTGGGAAGACATCCACAGACGAGGTGCTGTGAGGGGTCCCGGGAGATCTGTATAACCAGCCCTGGGAAGAGACCCACAGACCGAGAGCTGTGAGGGGTCCCGGGAGATCTGTATAGACCCAGCCATGGGAAGACACCCACAGACGGGGTGCTGTGAGGGGTCCCAGGAGATCTGTATAGACACAGCCCTGGGAAGACACCCACAGACCGGGAGCTGTGAGGGGCCCAGGGAGATCTATATAGACCCAACCCTGGGAAGATACCCACAGATGGGGTACTGTGAGGGGCCCAGG